TTATTTGTGTCAGGTCGCCGTCGTGCGTCAGGGTGTTGTCCGTCTTTTGATGACACGTGTTTTCTGTCAACCACATGTAGCRTATGTGATGCATGTTGTCTGCAGTGGTCGGCGTTCGGTTGATGTTGTTGGTGAAGCTTCGATGTTGAACTGATGACGACCACGTGTGTCGAATGAAATGTAATCACCAAACAATTTTCTCGTGATGGGTTCATATTTTGGTAAATGGTTGCGAACCCTCTTGTAATTTTATYGATGGGTTCGTGCATTGTTTGTTTCCGTTTTTTTTTTTTCTTCCCCTTTATCTGTGCTGTTCAACATGAACAGAAGTTGTGGACGACATGGCGATGAGCAATAACAAGAGCATGAGAGTAGAAGCTATGGGCGCGATTCAGACGATCATTAACGATTATCGTGCATGATAGACCCGCATACGACAGAAGAAAAGCAGCAGTGGCTGAGCAGTAAGAAGCATAAAGTCACACGACGTTCACACAGAAACAGAAATGATTGCATAAAATCCGTTGAAGTACATAAAAAGTTGTGGCGGCGACCGACTTTTCTCCTACCTATCCACACACCCTCCCCACTATACACCCTCCAACCGCGAACCACGAAGGACGAACCAATCCTGTCGTTTGCGCAGTGCTCCCTCGTGTCACCCCCATGATTAACAAACCCTTTTGTGGAGCACGACCAGAAAGTGTGCTCCAATTCCTCAAAGACTACAAGTAAAAATAAAAAATAAAAAATAAAAAACACAGGAGCCGTTCACAACACACGCAATACACAGCCATCTGCCGACGTGGCCACGTCGCTGGAGCGCATAGTCCTCGCCACCCTTATCGTTCGACGTGGTGATAGATGTTTCCGCACCTCCGCCTTGACAGACTGCTGCGCAAAACCTGGCACCTCACCTATTCGCCACACCCCCCMCCCCCAGCACCTGGCAACACCCGTCCCGCCTCTGCGGTACCGTGTCCACTTGAAGGCGCACGCTTCGTCCACTCGTCACCACCGTGGACGAAGCGCCGACAATGCGCACCAACCCGCTGCCACCATTGGGCGAGATGACGTGTCACTTGCCATCATCTCCATCGTCATCCGCCGCGGGCCCACTACCGATCCACCCGTGTTTTGCGGCCTCCGCCGCGTTCTTTAGGGCAGCGTTGTGCCCGAACGCCAACCCGCAATCGCACCATTCCGGAATGCATCGCGGGTAATCTCCCAATGTGAGGTGGGCCTTCCCTAGACGATCGAGGACGAGGTTGGCGGAGTCCACCACGTGTCGGCGCCAGTTGAAGATGTACGACCCCGCCGCTATCATCGTCGGTTTCTCGACCATGGACGCGTACAACCATGCCTCGTAATGCGATCAATCGTCGTCACCTCCCATGTGCATGATCCACATGACCCCGCACAACAACTCTCGCAGACTGTCCGCCAGCCTGGACGACCTCTCCTGTTTTACACGCCCGCCATCCGCCCACTGTCCGCACCACAGCGCATCAGTCCAGCACTCCGCCAGCAGAGGAATTGTCGCCTCCTGCCGCACCGCCATGTCGTCGTCTTCCGGGCGGTCCTCGATCCTCACCCCCGCGAACCACAGAGGCACGTCCATCTTCATCGCCAACGTGTGGTAGACGAGTGCATGGGATACCACTCTCGACCATTCCAAGGCCTGCCAAACTGCTCGTGCAAGGTCCGTGGCGAAATCGACGGTGATGTAGGACTCTGCACGAAAGAAGCCAGTCGACCTCGACTGAGATTTAAAGATCCAACCGTGGATGGTGCGCAGCAGTACTCTCTCCACGCTGCGCGCTCTGCAGAGAGCTGGATCACGCTGCGCCGGGTCGTCGATCTTGAAGCGCGGCACGTCATTCGGCGGCATGATGAGCATCGAAGGCGGCTCAGCTCCTGCGTCTCCGTTGGCGATGGCGACGAAGTAGTCGGTGCATTCGCCTACCGCCTCCCTCAAAGGTTTCCCGGGACCCTGACCCCAGAAAGCGTCGCAATCAACCCACAACTTTGCCTTCTCTTCCAGCTCATCCTCCTTCGGCGCTCCCTTCCCCCTCGGCACAAGTGGACGGTCGTCGCCGTCATTGCCCTCCCGCTTTCCGTCTCTTCGGCCATCGTCACGGCCAACGTCGTCGACCCCCCCCTTCCCGCACCTTCAACGACTCCACCTTTAGCTGTGTGATCTGCCGCCACCGTCCGACTGGCGCTGGCCGTCGCATCGCCCTTTCACGCGGGCGCCGTGTCCCCTCCCCCTGGTGCCAACACGTGTTGCAGGGGGAGTGGCTGACGTGGCTGACCTTGACCTGCCGCCGCCGAAATTTGTCCCGCGACCCGCGCGCCCGTGACGACAACCCCTGCCGTGTTTGGGGTCCTTGGCACCGTCCCGGCAGCACCGCCAACAACGCTGCGTTTCACTGCTTGCAGCTGCTCCCTCGACACTCCATCCCGCCCGAAACCCAACCCCATGACCCCTGTCGTCCCTTGCGCGTCCACCATAGCCACTTCGTCTGCGAGGAAGTCGTAAGTTCGTGAGGAGCTAGCATCATCGATGCACTGCCTTTTCGACTTGGGTATGTGGCCTCTGCCTTTGTTGGTTTCCCCACCGTCGCCCACCCCGCCATCTTTCGTGCCCCTCGCCGAGGCGCCCCGTGGGGGCATCTGCTCCGCAAATCGGAATCTACGACGACGTAAACGAAGGCTGCCTTCGACGAAAGAGCGTGCGGAAGAAGGATGCCTGACTGCTTCCCAGTGCTTCGACGTGGACGGAGGACGACGTGGATGATGCAGATGACGGGGCAGTGGTCGTGGAGCCGCGACGACGATGGCGACCGAAATGGAGATCGCGGACGACGAAACACATTGGCGGAGGAGCACGTCCACGAAGGATGACGTCGACGAAGGAGGACGTGGACGGAGGCGGCGTTCAAGTCCTTGAAGCGCGGCACGTGGGCGAAGAGGACAGCTGTCGCGACAGGGACGAGGGACCACTTGTTTGATGCATAAGAAGGGGCATTGCTCGCGGAGCACGATGCGGGAGCGTGGAGCGGCGAAGCGGAGTTGCAGGCGCGCGACGACGAGCAGGTAGGCAGACGGTGCGAGAAGGAGCCGTGGCTAAGGAATCGCTGTGGTACGAAATGGCGGGCAGAATGTCCTATTTCTACGTACTGCGATGTGAAAGTATACCATGGACACGAGTCCGCGTCCACTACAGCCCGCCCCTTCGTCGCTCGCCCATGGTCCGTTTTCCTCCGCAGGCGCATGTCATCCCTCGCATGGCCAACATCAAAAGTGGTCGCGCAGAAGGACCCTGGTGGAGGTCGAAAAAGCCCGCCAAACCAACGACCCCCTCCCGCCCGAAAATCACACCCTTCTCCGAAACCCCAGGAATTTGCCATCCATGCGTGCCGGCGACGCTTCACTACAGCAGTCGTAATATTCTATAAGCAGACGACGTACTGTAACACCGAAGGACGCGCCGCGGGGCATGACAGCAATCACACCCATTCTACAATGAAATAATCAAATGAATGCATACTTACAAAAAAAACAAAACTCGTGTGTCCAAAAAACAACCAGCCGTCTGTACACAACCTGCACATCTCATCACTGCAGCACGCAGGACAATAACGGCACGCGTGGCCGGAAGACGTCACGATCGCTCGTGGATCGCTTTAGCAATCTCCATAAGTGCTTCGCACATCATCAAGTTCGCCTGGTCGGCCTTGACGTAGTGTTCCTTCTGCACTTCAACCTCGCGCTCCAGAATGTCGCACTGCCTAGTCAGAATTGAGCACTATCTCTTGCTCGCGCTGTCCACAGTTGTCGCCATCAGACTCCCGTGCTCCTTCATCACGTCTGCAATCGTGTCGAAGGTCTGCTGTCTCACATTCTTCCGTTTGCTGCCCCCGCCAACACCACCGCCGTTGATAGAATCCCTCGTGGACTCCTGATCATCGTCCTGTCCATCCCCGCCCCCCTCACTACCGCCGGATTCATTCCGACCTCCGCGTGGGCCGGGCATTTGAACACCTCCAGTCGCACCGGTGTCGGCGAGAGTAGTGGGGTGTATGGTGTGATCGCTCCTGGTCATCGCCGCCATCTCCGAATACACACGCTCATCCATCCGAAAATCGAACCCCCGCTCCTTCCTCTCGCCTGGCGACAGTGTGAAGAAATTTGGCTTCCCCGATTCTCCCATAAACTTGTGCACGGTTTTGAATTGCTGGTACAGGTTGTCCCATTTCTTCCCGCAATCGACGGCCTTTCTACTCGTGACCCCCATCTGCACCAGCCTCTTCTCCACATCGTCCCACTTCCATGTCTTCGTCTTCATCCTTCCCGTGGTGTGCGCGAGGCCGGCAAGATGCGAATCCTGGTCTCTTTTTGCCCGGATGAGAGCAATCATGTGCTCCACGGTCCAAAAATCCCGGCTTTTCGATCCCTCGCCAGCCGACCCTCCGCCCCATGCATGTTTCCGACAACTTTTTCGCGGCCCTCGACCCTCCCCATTTTCTCCCTACTGGACGAATCTCCATCTCCTCGTCGTCCTCCTCCTCGTCGTTACCGTCCCCATAGTCCGCCTCGCAATCCTCCCCAACTGCACCATCTTCATCGCCCAATATATCGTCCGCCTCCACGGTAATCTTCGCCACCCCTCTCGTTATGCCGGTCGTGCTCGCTTCACGGGATTGTCGTCGATGATCATCCCAAAACTTTTGACCAACGACCTCCGTTGCTGACCACTCTTCGTTTGGGCGTCGTCCGTCCACTGTGCCACCTGCCGTCGTCGTTCTACACGGAACTGATCCGCCAGTCCAC